TTTTTTTTTTTGGTTTTTCGAGACAGGGTTTCTCTGTGGCTTTGGAACTTGTCCTGGAACTAGCTATTGTAGATCAGGCTAGCCTCGAACTCACAGAGATCCACCTGCCTCCTCTGCCTCCCGAGTGCTGGGATTAAATGTGTGCGCCACCATCACCCGGCGATATGTTATCTTCTTTATGGCTTCCTAACCCAGGGGATCCAGGCAGAATGAAGATTAATCTGATAAAGTTCTGGGTGGGTAATTTGACCAGAGAGCCTGTCAGTCTTGAAGTGGATTTAGAAAAAATAGGATCAAAGTAAGGAAACAATTAAATCTCAAAAACATAATATTGAGCAGAAGCAACTAAATGCATCAAATACATACGGTGTGATTCCATTCATATAAAGGTTAGAAGCAAGGCTGGAAGATGGGCCAGTGGGCAGTGGTGCCTACTACTAAGATGAAAGACTTGAGCTTCATTAGTGGGACCCATATGATGGAAGAAGAAAACTGGTTTCTGATCCCTGCAAGTTGTCTTCTAACCTCCAAATTGGATGCAGTGGCATGATCACACACACAAAATAAATGTAAAAACATGTTTTTAAAGCTTAGAAACAGGCAAGACCCATCTGTGGAGTTAGAAGTCAGGCTATGGTTACCCATCCGAGGAAAGTAGATAGTATTATGTGATTAGGCTTCTCTGATGCTCGTGGTTGTTGATTTGTTTGAGTACACTGCTACACTATGTTTATAATTACCTCATGGGGTATACATTCACAGCTTAAGTACTTTTCTGTATATTTGTTATACATTATTATAAAATTAGGGAATACTTGTAATAGGGATGCTTAATGTATATGGAGGTCCAGTATAATTACCTATTATTTTGAATCCGTTATATAATGTCTAGTTAAATTGTGTATGTTCTTTATACATTTAGGCAATCAATGCCTGATCACTTCTTTGTATATGTATAATGTACATGTTTGTCATGGCATTGTGTGTGGAGGTCTAAAGACAAAGCTGTATAGTCAGTTCTCTCTTACCTTTACATGGATTCTGGGGATTGAACTCAATTCATCAGGCTTTTGAGGCCAGAATTTTACCTGCTGAGCAATCCTGCTGACTCTTGACCACTTTTTTGAGCCCTGGAATCCACATGGTAGAAGGAGAAAAGTGGAAAATACTTGGCAGAGCACAAACTTACTACAGATTTTCCTTGATTTATGATGGGGCACATCCTGATTAAATTCTTGTGATACTGAAAACATCCTAAGTCAAACATGCATTAAAAACATTGACCTAGGGTTGGAGAGATGGCTCATTGGTTAAAAGGACTGGCCATTCTTCCAGAGGAACTGGGTTCAATTTCCAGCACCCACGTGGCAGCTCACAACTGTTTGTAACTCCAGTTCCAGGGGATCTTACATGATACCTTCACACCAATGCACATAAAATAAAGTTAAATAAATTATTTAAAAAAAAAACATTGACCTACTGTACAAAGCTGCATGGTGTAATGAAGTATTTTTGTTTTTTATCTTATTTATCCTTATAATTGCATGGCTGACTAGGAGCAGAGGCTCAATATGGTACTAACGTTGGGAGAGAATGTTGTGTTGATATTTGGGAAAAGATTAAAGTAGAAAATCGGAGGTACAGTTTCTACTGAATGTAAATTATATTGCTTTTACACCATTATAAAGTTTGATTATTCTAAGTTGGGGACCATATCTAATAGTGGTCAGCCCTGAAGACTGCTTATGTGACAGACTTTGGACATGGAACTTTTACCTTACACCCCTTTTAACTATGCTTATAATATTTATTTATTTTTATTTATTTATTTTTTTTGGTTTTTTGAGAGAGGGTTT